TAACAATGCTAGCTCTTTATCGCATGGCGAGATAGGGTGCGCAGGTCATGCTGTATGTAACGATATTCAATTGATAAGTTTGAAGTTCTTGATCAACATCTTTCCTCCAAAAACAAGCTGCCAAGCTCTGTTGGATGGGTTGATCCGTATTTGTCGAAACATTTGTGCCACATCTGCTGTCACAACGTATCTATGTATGCGAAATTTTAACATAATTTTGAAAAGATCCTTCTGTAGATTAGAACTTGCCAAGAGCTTGTCATTCAATGAATAACCTGATGTTGTCTTGGCAGATGCGTCAAATACAACATGTATTTTCGTTGTGCTTTCGGGCCGCTTGATGTGAATGAAATATTTTTCTATTTTAGTGTTGATCAAGTCTCTATCGTTCATCAATGTCATATGTTGTTGCTATATAATCCTCTATATAATCCTTCACGCACAATAATCTGCTTTCAATTGAGCATTCTTCTGGAATCTACGTTCCATTTGTTCCAGTCTCCTTGAAGCAAATGATTGCGAATGCCCTAGATTTACTTCTAATCGGAGGGATAACTTGACGACAAAACGTCCGCTTCCATCTTTAATAAATTGTCTCGTGAAAGTGTTGCTAACAATATTTTTCATCTTTAGTAAGATACTGCTGATTCTCTGAGAAATTTTCCTGCTTCCAAAAGCATTCAAGTTGACGTTGCAATTGATCATTGGTGGTAATCAGACAAGCCGAAGATGAAATCGAATCAGCCATTGTCATTTCTCCTTCCAAAATCCATCCTAAGCGCGTGTTCTGTAACGCTAGTTGACCTTGAAGTCGATTGAGTGGTGGGTGTAACAATTTTCCAATATAATCCTGCTCTCAATAGCAAGTCTATATTTCCTGGTTTACTAAATCCTGGATCTGCTAATTGTACGTTTTTAGGTATAACAATTTGTGTAGAAGCGATCCTTGTTTACGGCAATTCTTCTGTTATGGATGGCAATACCACACATTCTATCTCTTCTGAGTATTCATTTCTGATATCTTTTAATTGTACATATAAAACTTTGCATGTACTTGTACGAGATTGATTAATACCTCCGATTGTCCTTTGTTGATTATTTGTGGGCAATTTAAATTTTCTCGCTAAATCGGCCGTTATCAGATTAGACTGTGAGCTTGGGTCTAAGAATGCTCTACAAGTTATTGTCTTTTCCTCAATATCTTTGAGCAGCACTCGTGCTGTTGACAAGATGATTTTTGCTTGCAATCTCTGAACGCAGTAAATGCTGACCTTTCCGTTTTGATCTATCAAACCGGTACAATGAGTTACAACTGATGTATCTGAGCTCGCTTTATTTTCTGTTGCTTGCTTCTCGTCTCTATGTAAGAGCGTGTTGTGACGGTTATTGCATTTCTTACACTTCGAGCTTCGACAGCAACGTATCCTAAGCTAAGACAATTTCTACATAATTTCTTTTTAAGTACTTCTTTCTTTCGATCGTCTGTTGACAAGGCAAGAAACTCCTCACATCAGTTGATTGCGTGATCTTGGTTACAATATTTGCAAGTAATAGAAACTGTCGTCATTGCGGTCTTTCTTTCGTATCTTTTATCTCTCTTTGTTTCACTGGAATATTGCTGTTTTCCTATCATTGATGCTTTCTCTTTAAGTTGAGAAAGTATTCTGAACGTATGGCATCTTTTGTTCAAAAACTTTAAGAATTCGCTTAATGTTGGCATATTATCTGGTTGCCAATCCTTGATATGGTTTTGCCAATCTCTTTGTTCTCCGAAATCTAATTCCTTTCTCGCAAGATAAATAATGAGTGTATCCCAGTGGATAACTGGTTGACCAAGGGTTTTCAACGATGAAATGAGTT